TTCGTGAGATCATTGCACCATGCTGACCCACGATGAACAAAATTTCTGAAAAATTGCAAACAAATAAACAACTGTTTGTTTAACGTGACTGCAGCTTCAGTCTCTCTTCATAGAATCGAATTACTTCCTGAGGATACCTAAAAAAGGTTGGAGTGATTGGAATCTATTCTGGAAGTTAAAAACAATCAAAATGTGACTGACTTCACATTGGCTTCTTTGGCAGGCACGAGATCGGCAGTATGATCCTTCCATTTGATGAGGAAATGAAGCTCCCCAGGAGTATCAGTCAAGCCTATGATACGGTGTAGCTGTTTTTCTTCGCGCTTGTCGCTAGAAACAGATGGCTCCTTCTTTTCTGTCTGTAATGATCACATTCAGTGAGATATTACTAGGGAATCTTGGCAGGCATCGTCCCAGCAGAATTTCGTTTCCCAGTTTTTCGTATTTTCTGGGCATTCTCGTCATGGGGAACCCATATCTGGGCTTTGCGCGCAAGAAAATGACGAAAATGAGCCCTTTTCAAAGTCTTTCAGGTCCGCATTCAGTGGAAACACACCGGGACTTCCGCGCCCGCCTACCTCGTTTCGGACTCCGCCCACTTGCACGCATTTTCCACTGGATGCAAAACCGAGAAGCCTTTAGAAAGGCTCATTTCCGCCATTTTGGTGCGCGGAAAAGCCCAGATATGGATTCCTCATAGCGAGAGTGCCCCGGAAATGCAAAAATCTGGAAAACGAAACTCTGCTGGGACACTGCCTTTGAGTAATGCAAAGAACAAGTATTAAGCCCTACCTTGCTCCGTTTCCTTTCGAATTCCGCAATAAGCTCATGGCAAGCTACATTCTCTTCGGGTTCCCAAGTGCTCTCTTCGAGAGGAAAACCCTGAACGATGATACGTGAAAGTCCAATAAATGACAATACATTTGACTCAGCTAGCGCACTGCTGCAGCGAATTTCGTTTTTTTTTCTGATCAAACTGTCGATTTAAAAGTACACATCGAGATTCATAATTTTTAGGACTTAGCAAGCGGATTTAAAAAGCTCATTCTAAGTTTTGTGCCACTTTACCTGCCACTTTAGAAGATATTCCACTTTCCCGTCCTTAGCTTTACGCTTATTGATGACAGC